AAATGCAATGTTTTTTATATATATATATATATATATATATATATATATATAGTATACAGAACGTCCTCAGAGTAATCAACTCACAGGGCAAGGAAGAAGTTCATTCTACTGTGTTCAGTGATACTGAAGCGAGCCCTCCTGAAGTACACAAATGTCATAGCCAACAAATACTATATGAAAATAAAGACATAGAGAATTGAGATTAGAGACACAGCTGCCTATATACATTTTTCTAAATTCAAAACTGTCCACAATCGAATAACCACTAAATATTAAATGCACCAACATATGTCTTGCTACCTTGTCTGTAAGTTTACAGCAGCAGTCCATCCACAGAAAGTCCTGTATTAGATCATCATCTGAGCAGACAGCAAATCAAAAAGGTTTTATTCTAGAGAATTATATCTATATATCTTGATATTTCTGAATTAAGCTAGTACTCAATCAACACAAACTCAGCACACCTGAAAAAACGATAGGTGCGTAGGAAAAAAGGTCCAACAAAACTGTCAAGTCCAAAATATAAAAAGATGCAATCCCGCACACTATCAATTCTTGCTAAATATTTAAGTTTATTGACAAAAGCAACGTTGGACCGAAACGTCGCTTTTGTTCATAAACTTCAATACGTTTGTTAATAAACTTCAATATTTAGCAAGAATTGATAGTGTGCGGCATCTTTTTATGTTTTGAATAAAAAAAATAAAAAAATAAAAACGGGTGTTTTGCGGGATGCACAAGGTGACATTTAGGTAAGCTTTCGCTGGCAGCTGTTCTGCTGAACCCACCGAACAGTCTGAAGAAGGCGGCCATCTCCTGCCTCTGGATCAGCAGGGTCGGCCCGGGCGTCTTCCTGCGAGGCTGATGAGCGGAGTCAGGCTGGTTCCGAGCCGCTGTGTTCGGCCTTGTTCTTCGCGGGCCGCGCCGGATATGCAGGCTGTGAGCAGGTCCAGACGGTGCGGTTTCTGCCCATGGTCGGCTCAGTTTAATCATGTTTCAGCGATTAAATCAGCCGATATTACAGAACTGCCACTGTGTACATATTACAATTGAATAATTATTTTATATTTATTTTAGTATAAATGACATGCGTATTTATGTTATTCCTGTTTGTTCATAATCCCAGATATTTTCTAAATATAATTTAACGTAGTCTTAAAATCTATCACCTACATAGATAAAGATGACTCTTAGCACTCCTATATAACTCAAAATGAAGCTTAAATGTTTATATGCTTAACTTTATGTGGCTAGGATAAGTTTTAGCCCTATATATGAGCGAGTTTTCACCTGTAAACAAAATTTACCTCAGTTTTAAAAACCGCGGCTCAGTAACTAATTAAGACGCGCATGATTTCACGCGCTCTCAGATGTTTAGATCGACTACTGGAGAAGGCAAGATTGCAGTTTAGCTGATGTGTATAACATTAATGATAATTTAAAGGTGAATTAAAACAAATTCAAAATGTTAAATATTTCAAACTGGACGTCGCGCGATCGCGCACGTGCACTTCCTCTCCCTTCCCGGGCAGCGCGGGAACTGTGTTAGCAGTCACATGGTCAAATATTCTCCAATCAGAGGCAGAGGTCAGAACACTCAAGAAAAGCTCAAGTTGGTTATATCTAGGAAAATATGTCCTACATGTCCTATTAAACACCTTGCTGTTTTATTCATAAAAAGTTTTTCAAATGCAAATAAAATCTAGTTGTATCATTCAAGTGATTAGTGAACAAGTAAACAAAATATGGATGAGTAGCAGTAAATTATCAAATAAATGTATTACATCTTTGTTGGTTATTAGATTTTGCTTATGATGGTTTAGACAGCATATAATGCACACAATATTCTAGAAAAGTAACACTGCATTGCCTGCATTGGAAAAAAAATATAGCAACATCAAACAGACTGATTTATTTAAATATTTGGGAAAAAATGTGGTTCTTCAGGACAGAGCAATACAATTTATTTACACATGCTCAAATGGTGACAGGTTTGTTCGCTATTACCAGGAAACAGTAGATGAAGTATCAGGAATTGGTATTTATATGCACTGTGCTCACAGATGTGTTTAAGGATTTTCATTGCTTTGCGCACTGCCTTTATTTCCTGAACGAAAACACATTTAATTAAAGGTTGGCCAGGCCTTTTCAAGTAAAATATCTTTACAATTTAAGTAAAAGAAAGAGTTTTAGTTCACCTTTTTAATCTCATGGAAGACCACACCCTTGATCTCATGAATTGACTTCTTGCAAACCCAGCACATAATGGCGTTCATGTCAGACTTCTGGGGATGGTAAAAATGTAAGAAATGCATTAATTAATAATTAAAATCTATTGCATTACATTATGCATCAGTTTACCTCTATGTTCAATTTGTGACTCATTTTGACTTCTTTGGGAAGGTTCAGCTCATTTCTTTCCAGCATGCTCTTCCATTGTGCCTTGTTAATGCTGCTGCACCCAACAAGAACTGAACCACAAAAACAGATTACACTTGTGAGCAGAATTTGATTAATATGATACTAATAATAAAGTAAATGCAAATCAATGAACTAGCCATAGAAGAAATTTTAAGTTGAATTCAATTAGTTCTTCAGACTCACCTGAGCATGCAATAAGCAGTCCAAAATGAACAACAGGTGACATTATTCTTCAAATCCTCTACTTAATAAGTCGTTTAGCTAAAACACTGAACACTTTTCTTTAAGAGTTCAGGTGATTTTCAGTTCAAGTGAAACTGAATCGGTCTCTCTTGTGTTAGTCCTCTTCACAGTTATGAAGAACGTTGAAGATAATAAATGTCTATGCAAGTCTTTTGGAGTGCTGATGTTCAGGGCACCAAAACCACTGTGGACTAAAGTGTCAAGCATGTTTTCATAAGAGCTCCGGTCAGCATTTTCTACACTGACTGTCTCTTCAGTTCACGTAACCATCAGTAATATTGTACCTGAATTCTTGAATCATTGATTTTTCATGTATTGAATTAAAGCTGGTGTACAGATATTAAATCACTAAATGACACTAGTAAATGGCTAAATAACAATCAGACTTTTTGTTTCAGATATCAGTTATTTGCTTCCTTTTGTCTTAATGCAAGTGAATTTTAGATGTATTTAAAACAGAATAAATCATCTGCTCATGCTGCTTTTTCATTCAGAATATTTATTAGCTCATGCTTCTGACAAAACAAACAAGTGAACAATCTTATCTAAAGATCTGATACTTTGATTGACTTGTTAGTTTAGGTTTAATCAGTCCTTAAATTAGCACATTTTGTACTTAATGCAGGATTTTTTAGGGGATAGTCTTGGGAAAAATCCTTTAAAAACTTTTTTTTTTATGATTTTGGCAAGCGATTTACATGGTTTCCAGAGAAATTTGTTGGCACGGCATACAACATTTATTTTCTGAGTGAGGAAACAAAGATAGTTTTAATAAAGTAAACTTACATTAGTACATCATTTACTGTGAACCGTTTCAGAGAGAGAATTAATAACAGAACTGTAACCATAATATGACTACTAATAATAATACCAAATGCAATTTCCAAGTATGGCTTATAAAATTACATTCATAAACATTTTTAAATAATAATGACTAAAATGCATAAATATTGAGCTTTGTTCGAACAAAGAATAAAAATAAAAAACAGATTCAGGAAATAACTGAGTAAAAATGTACCTTGTCAATCAGAGCATTTATCATGGGTAAATATTTCGCTAGCGTTTTCAAACATATACAACATTTTACGGCGATCTAGAAAGAGAGATTACAATTAGATGCAAATAAAAATAATAAAGAGTGGTGATCAAGGGGAATGTATATGCCAAACTTATTAACTTTACCACCACACTAACACGAACTGTATAGTGTACAATATTTTACCTTTAAAAAAAAAAAAAAGCATGTTGAAGCTTTATGATACACAGATTCACAGATTTTTACCTTGGAAGGATTACAATCATCCTCATTGTCATGGGAGGTGACTGCTTGTAGCATCTCATGAATGGCCTCATATGGAGAACTCTCAGCAGCAGCTTCTTCAGTTCACGTAACCATCAGTAATATTGTACCTGAATTCTTGAATCATTGATTTTTCATGTATTGAATTAAAGCTGGTGTACAGATATTAAATCACTAAATGACACTAGTAAATGGCTAAATAACAATCAGACTTTTTGTTTCAGATATCAGTTATTTGCTTCCTTTTGTCTTAATGCAAGTGAATTTTAGATGTATTTAAAACAGAATAAATCATCTGCTCATGCTGCTTTTTCATTCAGAATATTTATTAGCTCATGCTTCTGACAAAACAAACAAGTGAACAATCTTATCTAAAGATCTGATACTTTGATTGACTTGTTAGTTTAGGTTTAATCAGTCCTTAAATTAGCACATTTTGTACTTAATGCAGGATTTTTTAGGGGATAGTCTTGGGAAAAATCCTTTAAAAACTTTTTTTTTTATGATTTTGGCAAGCGATTTACATGGTTTCCAGAGAAATTTGTTGGCACGGCATACAACATTTATTTTCTGAGTGAGGAAACAAAGATAGTTTTAATAAAGTAAACTTACATTAGTACATCATTTACTGTGAACCGTTTCAGAGAGAGAATTAATAACAGAACTGTAACCATAATATGACTACTAATAATAATACCAAATGCAATTTCCAAGTATGGCTTATAAAATTACATTCATAAACATTTTTAAATAATAATGACTAAAATGCATAAATATTGAGCTTTGTTCGAACAAAGAATAAAAATAAAAAACAGATTCAGGAAATAACTGAGTAAAAATGTACCTTGTCAATCAGAGCATTTATCATGGGTAAATATTTCGCTAGCGTTTTCAAACATATACAACATTTTACGGCGATCTAGAAAGAGAGATTACAATTAGATGCAAATAAAAATAATAAAGAGTGGTGATCAAGGGGAATGTATATGCCAAACTTATTAACTTTACCACCACACTAACACGAACTGTATAGTGTACAATATTTTACCTTTAAAAAAAAAAAAAAGCATGTTGAAGCTTTATGATACACAGATTCACAGATTTTTACCTTGGAAGGATTACAATCATCCTCATTGTCATGGGAGGTGACTGCTTGTAGCATCTCATGAATGGCCTCATATGGAGAACTCTCAGCAGCAGCTGCACAAAATGTAATTTCATATAACTACATTAAAAATCAAAATACAATCCTGCTTTAATATCCCACTAAAGTTCACATTTTTTTTACAAGATCAAATAAATATGTGCCAAACAAGTGCTAAAACATTTCTAAAATCTTACCAAAGAGAATCATAAATGATACAACGATACAGGCTAGATACATTGCAGTTCCTTTTTTTGTAATTTGTTTATTTCAAAGTGACAGTGCACTTAAACCGTGTTTTGTCTTTGGTTTTGCTGATGTGTGCACAGACAAAACTGTTAAATGTGTGAAGTTAAGTCAGTTAAACCCTCATCTAACACTTCATATGTTCTTATGATGTAACAAAAGTATTCAGATGCTGATCACTATTATTATATTAGCCTGTTTGCATTCTGAGTCAAATTCCTTATAGTATAATGTTAAACCTCATTTGTCTGAAAACTGCAATCCTGTCTGATAGTTCAGTGCTAAATTCCCAAGGTCAGAAACTTCAACAGTGTTCAAAGTGTGTTTTACAGTAGTGTCCCCTAACAGTAAATGACACTATATAGTAAATTATGATTTTACTATTACTATTATTTTACTAGGGGGGAACTGTTCTTTTAAATAACAGCTTTAAAACTTTCCAGGCATAATAAACTGTAATGTGCAATACCCAAAGTGGAACTGCGTGACTGAGAATGACAAGGAAACAAAATAATCAAGTTTAAAGTGTAAAGCAACTTTTTGAAAAAACAAAAACAAACAATTGTTACAGAATTGCATATTTTTAAATTTATTTAAAATTTAAATTCATGTACTGTACAATCTTTACAAATCATTTGGCTATTATGACATTTGACTCTTCAGTACAATAAACATCCATCCAGTAGAACATTTTAAAGGCATTTCTGATTAAATGCAACTCTTAACTGCATTTCTCAATCTTTTCATTTCTGCGGTCACATAGCCTCAGCACTCTGCAGGTGCCCATAATAGTACGTCCAGGAAAAAGCACCCTCATTATTGCAATTTTGTAACGGTTGGCTACAGAATAGCAGAGGGGACGGAAAACAAAAATCCATTTACTGCAGGTTTTATTGATTTCCTGAAAAACATAAATAAAAACTGAAGACCCAATAGCTGAAAAACATTCAATGAAAGTCAATGAAAAAAAATGTATATGCACACTTAAAATACAAATAGACATGGCAGTGGATTGATATCAACTAGCACTTATTTATTTTCTCAAAACATTTCAAATGAGCTTGTAACAGTCAATGTAAATGTATCCCTTCAACAGCCATTGCCACAGTTGTTACGAGCATAACTTTATCTTCAAACATGTGCCCCTTGGACTCCCACCAGGGAAGAGCTTGTGCAGTATGATGTCCAGATATCTCACT